AAAAAAAAAAAAAAAAAAGGTGTCCTTCCTAAGAAGGACAGAGCTCTGAAGCTATGAAGAAAAGACTGATAGCCATAACTCTACAAAAAAATTAGAACCTCTGTATGGAAAAAAATACCATAAGGCAAAAAGCAAAAAGAAGAATTATATGACATGTTCACAATGAATATATTATGAAATGTAACACTTTTCAGACATAAAGAGCTTTTACAAAGGAATTTGAAAAAAGCAAAATTGAAAAAATCCAATGGAAATGTTCAACCCATCCATAATTAAAAGAAGAAATCATTTTTCAAGTTAAAGTTTAGCAAAGATTGGCTCAGTGTCCGTGGCACAGTGGTTATGGCGCCAGCCACATACACGGAGGCTGGTGGGTTCGAACCTGGCCTGGGCCAGCTAAACGACAATGACAACTGCAACAGAAAATAACTGGGTGTTTGGGCAGCGCTTGTGGCTCAGTGAGTAGGGCACTGGCCCCATATACCGAGGGTATACTACACCCGGCCCCAGTCAAACTGCAACAACAACAAAAAAATAGCTGGGCGTTGTGGTGGGCGCCTGTTTACCCCAGCTACTTGGGAGGCTAAGGCGAGAGAATCACCTAAGCCCAAGAGCTGGAGGTTGCTATGAGCTGTGATGCCACAGTACTCAACCAAAGGTGACAAAGTGAGACTCCATCTCTAAAAAAAGAAAAGACAAATGAAAATAGCTGAGTGTTGTGATGGGCTCCTGCAGTCCCAGCTACTTGGGAGGCTGAGGCAAGAGAATCGCTTAAGCCCAAGAGTTGGAGGTTGCTATGTTGCCACAGCATTCAACCAAGGGTGACATAGTGAAACTCTATTTTACAAAAAAAAAAAGTTCAGCAAAGATTAAAAATACCTACAACATCCAGTATTAGCTATGTCACAGATGAAGAAAATTTGTCATATATTGCTGGCAAGACAGTAAATTGAAACAACCATTTGGGGCAGTGAGCCACAGACGCTGCCCCCCCCCAATTTTTTTTTTTGAGACAGTTGCCCTCGATAGAGTGCCGAGGCATCACAGATCACATATAATGGCTGGCGCCATAACTTCACTTATATGTGGCCGTGGCCATAACCTCAAACTCTTGGGCTTAAGTGATTCTCATGCCTCAGCCTCCCAAGTAGCTGGGAGTATAGGCACCTGCCATAATGCCCAGGTATTTTTAGAGTAGGGTGTCTCACTCTTGTTCAAGCTAGTCTTGAACTGGTGAGCTCAGGCAATCCACCCACTTTGGCCTCCCAAGTGTTGGAATTATAGGCATGAGCCACTAGCCAAGCCCTCAACATTAAAATTTTAAATGCAGGCCGGGTGTGGTGGCTCCCACCTGTAATCCCAGCACTTTGGAAGCCTGTGGCAGGTGGATTCCTTGAGCTGAATAGTTTGAGACCAGCCTGAGCAAGAGCAAAACCCCATCTTTACTAAAAATAGGGAAATTAGCCAGGCATGGTGGTGGGTGCCTGTACTCACAGATACTGGGGAGGTTGAGCCAAGAGGATCATTTAAGCCCAGGAGTTTGAACTTTGCTTCATTTTTTTTTTTTTTTTTTGAGACAGAGTCTCACTATGTTGCCCTTGGTAGAGTGCTGTCACGTCACAGCTCACAGCAACCTCAAACTCTTGGGCTTAAGCGATTCTCATGCCTCAGGCTCCTGAGTAGCTGGGTCTAAAGGCACCTGCCACAATGCCCGGCCATTTTTTTGCTGCAGTTGTCATTGTTGTTTAGCTGGCCCGGGCTGGGTTCGAACCCACCAGCCTCAGTATATGTGGCCGGCACCATAACTGCTGTGCTACGGGTGCCAAACCTCATAAAATTTTTTGAACAAGAAAGAATAACATCTAACCAATGGTACAAGGCTGACCACAAACTCCAGGCGCAAGCAGGAGTTTGAGTCTACTCACCAATGGAGGATCGGAGCTCCTTGCACTGGCTGACCAGAGGCAGCTTCAGCATCTCCCTCCATTTCTTACTGCGACCATTTTTTTTCCCATATCCTCCTAAAGTTGAAAGAAAAAAAGTATTTGCTTAGCAGTCAGAAATTTCCAATTATAGCAACTACTTCTACTAATGTAGCCATTACCATTTCTGCCTAGCAAGTTGAGTACCTATAACAAGTAAAAATCCAAGCTCACAGTATTCTGTCTTGTCTGGAGGCGGCTTGATGAAGCATAAATAGCCACGATGATGCAGTCAGTGACTGGCTCTGTCATTCAAAAACGGTGCTGAGCCTCAATTTCCAAATTTGTAAACCAGATATAAAATGATATATTATTTAGGGCTGCTTATAGACTTCTGGTCAACAAATGTTTATTGAACACCTACTACGTACCAAACACCTTCAAATCACTGGGAATACAACTGTCAAAAGACCAAGTCCCTCTCTTGCATTTTAAATGAGGAAGAGATATTAACAAATGAGATGATAAGTGATAAGGAAAAATTAGCCATTCACATAGTGATAGATGGTATGAAAGTAAATCAAGCAGGGTAAGGGTGGAAGTTGCTATTTGACTAAGGTAGGATCAGAAAAGACCTCCCTGCAAGGCCGCATTTAGCCAAAGACTTGAAGTAAGGGAAAGAGTCATGAGAAAATCTGGGAGGAAAGCATCCCATGGTGACCCAGAAAGATGCAAAAGTCGGCTCAGCGCCTGTGGCTCAAGTCGCTAAGGCGCCAGCCACATACACCTAAGGTGGCAGGTTTGAATCCAGCCCAGGCCTGCCAAACAACAATGACAGCTGCAACCAAAAAATAGCTGGGCGTTGTGGCAGGTGCCTGTGGTCCCAGCTACTTGGGAGGCGGAGGCAGGAGACTCGCTTGAGCCCAAGAGTTGGAGGTTGCTGTGAGCTTTGATGCCACAGCACTCTACCCAGGGCGACAGCTTGAGGCTTTGTCTAAAAAAAAAAAAAAAAGATGCAAAAGGCTATGCTATAATACTTTACGAAGATATTTTTGTTTATTATAATTATTCTTTTGTAGAGATAGGATCTCACTGTGTTGCCCAAATTGGTTTTGAACTGTTGGCCTCAAATGATCTTCCTGCCTCAGCTTCCTGAGCGGCTGGGATTAGCCAGGTGAGGTGGCTCATGCCTATAATCCCAGCACTCTGGGAGGCCAAGGCAGGTGGATCGCTTGAGCTCAGGAGTTCAGGTGTTCAAGACCAGCCTGAGCAAAAGACCCCCATCTCTATGAAGCAGAAAACTCAGCCAGGTATGGTCATGCCTGATTAGTCCCAGCTACACAGGAGGCTGAGGCAGAAGGATTGCTTGAGGTTGTTGTGAGCTATCATGACAACGCAGCACTCTAGCCTGTCTCAAAGAAAAAAGAAAAGTGTTGGTATTTCAGGTGTGAGCCACCGTGCCCAGCCAGATTTTAAATAAGCACCTTTTTTCCTCCTTTAATTTAACTGAGAGAAATCAGAAACTTCAGCCTCAAACATTCTGGGCAGCTAAAATTTTACTGAATTTTATCCAAGAGAATAAAATGTCTTAGGCATGTGACTAAGACTCCAGGACTCTTTGGAAGCGTCGGGAAACCAGGAGGCCCATTTCCTTGGGAGATAATGAGCTACTATCTTCACCGTGATGAGTGTAAAGAACCTTAACAGATGGACGTCTAGAGTGGGACGAGCTGAGACAAGGCTCAGTTAGAGATGCTGATTTGCAGGTCACCTACTGTAAAGATAACGGTCAAAGTTCTGAGAGCTTCTTCCCCAGCCCTTGTTGTACTCCTATACTCCCTCCATCCCATTTCTCAACAGAGATCGTGCGCTCTGGACCTGGTTCCCACTGTCGGATGTCCAGAGCACCTCATAGCCAGTACTTTCCAATTAGACTCACTATCCTCCCCCCAAATCCTGTCAGTGGCTTTTTTTTTCCTTTTTGAGATAGGGTCTCATTCTGTTGCCTATCCCAATTTTTTCAACTGAATAACTAGCAAGAACATGGCAGTATGGCTGCTGTGACCCTTCCTTCCTCAGCCAGACACTGTGGCAGACCTGAAACCAGTGCTGGAGTGGTGAGGCAGGTGGGGCCTCAAGGAGGGCCAGGCTCCCCAATTGCAGTGAGTCTGCATCCACAGGGACAGGGCACTGACAGTGGGGCAGGCTGGCAATAAGAAATGACTGAATGTGTCACCTAGGACTTAACATGTCAGGAAGAGGTGAGTCTGAGCTCACCCTCACAGGCCCACCCAAGGAAGATGAGGCTGCCAGTGTGTCTCTGTACCTGTTCTTGGTGGTAAGTTTGGATGGTGGTGCGTTCTCTGAGCTCTCAGCACCTAACAGACTGTTGTGGAGATTAAGTGAGATAACTTATGTAGAAAGGTACCAGCCCTGTGAGAAGGGTTCAATATTCCTTCCTTTCCCCATCGGCTGTGGTTTCCTACTTCTGTGGCAGAGTCCCACCACATGTCAGGGCCCAGGTTCACTGCCTGGATGAGTGACCTGAGTTAAGGTGCCAGGCTTTTCTATGAATCCTGGCTCCTGCCACTCCTAGTTAGCTCCAGACAGTGTGAGAGCTCTGAGGAGGCCGAGTGACTATGGTGTCCCAGTCCTTTTCCATAGCGTGAGTCCTGGCTAACAAACCATTAAGTGCCTCCATGTCCTGTGTGCCACATACTGTCCAAGCTCAGGGGACCTGCTGGAGGGTCAAGGCAGCTGGTCCCTGCCATAGAAGGGCTTACACCCTTCTCCTCCTTCCTTCCACCACTGTCTTCTTTCACTCTCGCTCACTGCTCTCCTCAGCCTCTTCCTCACTGGCCTTCCTCCCTCTGGTCTTCCCTCCACACTGTCTTCCAGCCACCTTCCTAAAATGCAAACAGCTTCACAAACTCCTTTCTCTGCACTTACAGTTCCTGAAGGGCCCCCAGACTAGGGATGAGGGGACAGTGGAGTGCAGCTCACCTGACCTTGCCCCACAGGCAACCTGACGCTGAAGACACACTGTTCACAAAACTCACAAGCGTCCAGACCAGCACTCCGCCTCAGTAACCCAGGCAAGGCCCCACTCAGCCTTCCGTCAGCCCTGTCCTGCTTTCCTGGGCAGACACCGGCTCTCCTATCTCTTCAAGCCCTTTGCATCTTGAAAACATGATCACTACCCAACCTACTGTTCAAAAGGAAGCCAATACAGGGGGACAGCAGAGTATCACAGGGCACTGAGAAGAGGGGACAGCACAAGATCACAGGGCACGGAGTGAGAAGGGACAGCACAGTATCACAGGACACAAGTGAGGAGAGGGCAGAAATTTCACAAATATGTCCCCCCAAGTATTTTGGGGGCCTCCTGGCAGAAGGGCTGGCCCACCTGATGCTTTCACGTTGCTAACAGGTGAGTTCTTACCAACTTGTCCATCTGTCACCACATGTGCTACTGTGCACTTAACCTGCCACAAAGCTCCCCTCAAACCTCAAAACCCAGCAGCCACGTTAGGATGACAGAGTCTCGGCCGCTGGGAAAAGGCTCTCACTCGGCAGTTTCCAGGCTACTCCTGTTGCCTTTTAAAGAGTGTAAAAGCACCTTCTTTTCTCGGCGTCCTCCCAGACGGACAGGTGGGTTACCCAACACCAACAAGACACTGCCCCATGTGGAATCGACACTGTGACCGAGGTCACACGTAGAGGCAGGACTAGGAAACAGGGCCGCACCGGCCGGGAGTGCGGCCCGAGCTGACCATTCGCTGAGCGATCTCAGAGCCGGCCCAGGGTGGGGTGTGCGGGCCCCCGGGACTGGGGATTCTCCGAGGGGTCGGGCGCCCCCGCGCACTCACTCAAGCGCGCTTTCAGCAGCATCGCGTTGGCCAGGACGTTCTCCATCTCCATGGTCCGGCGTCCCCTCCGCCGCCGCCGCCGCCGGCGGGTTCTGCTAGCTCGGAGAGGCGGGGACGGCGGGACAGTAGCCGACGCCGCCACCGCGTCACAGCATTGCTCTCCGCGCTCCACCTGCTCGTCGGGCCCGAGATCGGGCCCCCAGAGGCTGCGCTGCCGCCGCCGCCGCC